CTAAGCAGTGTGACGTCATTGACGTGAAGCTGAAATCAGCAGAAGTCAGGAACTGACCTGGAACCGAAAATGCCAAGAACTAGATGGATATCGATTAAGAATATAAACAGTTCGGGTTCAGCAAATTCGTTTTGAACGTAGCCAAGCGAAAGGAGAAGAAACTCGGACTCAGAAGAAAGCGGAAGGAGAAGAAACGATGGCTGTTCGGAGAAATCCTGCATTGCGGATGCACAGGAATGCAGCCACAACCGTAATGCCTCAGCCGCGAACCGCTGAGTCATAGAGGGCTGCCGACGAGTTGTCAATGTAGTGAATAAGATCTACTGCTGAGGCAAACAGGTGTGGTTAAATTCAGAGTTTAGCAAATTTGGAAGCCTCAGCAAGCAGGGGCGACTAACGCTCCGTTTTCGGACAGTGCGAGAAGTGTCGCAGTGAGGGCCGCCCCGCATTTGACTGGTCAGAAATGCACATTGTGAACCGTTGTCAGACCGGGATAGTCGTTGGAAAACGATGGACTGAATATTTCGAAAGAGTGTTGAACTATAGTGATTCAGAAGTTCCACTGGAAGTTGGCAGTTGCTAAACGTCATTGAACATGCCCACTGACTCTCCATTACGGATGAACCACACAAAGCCTTAATGCGCTTACATTACTGCGATGCGGATGGGATACAAATAGGGTTGATCAAGTGCGGTGATGACAGCATGCCTCTAAGCTACAGAAACTCTTTTATTACATGTGGAAGGAAAAAATTCCCATAAAGATTGGAAGAACAGGATCATAATCCCTATCCACAAAGATCGAGACGATACCTGCCTACCCCTCGAGCTATCGCGGGTTTACACTGTTGTCTATCCCGAAGAAGATATTTTCGATGCTCATTCTGGAACTGCTGCTGTCGACGGTCGAAAATAATCGTCGAGTCCGCCAGGCAGATTTTCGAAGTCACTCGTGCAACGACCAAATCTTTTCACAGCACCGAATCGACAAGCAATTCAGCCAATTTTGACTACCACATTCATCAATTTTCGATGCCATTCACACAACCCCCTTGAAAAAAGAACAGTGCGTAGCTCTAGTGTTTCAGAACAGGTCGTTGCCGCTACGGATAGGACGGACGATGGGACGATCAGCGTTGTAAAAGCTGAAGGACGGGTTTCAAACTGTTTCGAGATCGAGCATGGTGTAAGGCAGGGCGATGTTCTCTGCCATCTGCTGT